CCCTTACTTCCCTAAGCCCTAAACCCAAAACCCAAAACCCTAAAGCCCTAAAGCCCTAAAACCCTAAACCCTAAAACCCTAAACCCTAAGCCCCAAACCCTAAAACCCTAAACCCAAAGCCCCAAACCCCCCAATCCTAGGAGCTGCCGGTTTCGGGAGTTTGAATAGTTTTCGACTCGTCGGCCGCTTGGGCGCACCGGGGCAGGCTTCAGGCGATACGAGCCTAAGAGGTTCTTAGGGATTGGGCTTTGGGTTTACGGTTTCGGGTTCAGGGTTCAGGGTTTAGGTTTAGGGTTTTGGGTTTGGGGTTTAGGGTTTAGTGTTTAGGGGATTGTATGGGAGATTCCGAAAGTAGGGAAGGGGTACCTGCTTTGGGGCTACAAAAAGGGACCCTAATTTAGAGAACTACCCATATGACTATGATAGTATAACTATACAAGGACTGCAAGCTCAAACCTCAATAGCAAGGTCCTCCTCCAGAAGGGTTGGCGCGGCAGGCTTTGGGTTTGCGGTGTAAATCCGACATCCGAAACCTAAATTGGGATACTAAACCTAGGCCGTAATTAAACTTAAGCAGCGGAATATTCGCCAGCAGTAGAAGTCGGGCAAAGCCACCCATGGCCGCTGACCGACTCCGAAATAAGGTCTTAAGAGGGACTCCAGACAGACCCTTCCCGACGGGTCGACGAGTACGCCCTTTGCCCTGCACCAACCAGCTACTGCTCGACAAAGACGATCTAAACTCCCCACCCTACTTGGAGGATCCTGGGACTTAGTAAGTAAGGTCATGAGTCCCTTAATTGGGGTTATAAGTAAAAATAAGTATAGTTACCTTAATTATAGCCCTACTTACTAAGTCCCATGATCCTTTAAGTACCACTCCCAGCCTTGGTGATGTTGGGATGAAGTAGACCTTGATTCGCCAGCAGAAGAAGAAGAAGCAATGCACACCTTAACCTACCAAAACCCACCTTTTTTTTGTAGGTTATTATAACAAGCCCTAATATGGGATTTATAGGGACCCTACAAAAAAGTAGGTTCTGGTGGGTTAAAGCAATCTGAAGGGTCTTCTGTTCCACTGCCTTGTGCTTACTCGCTTCTTCCAGAGGCGGGCCTAGGAACGACGAAAACGAATCTCATGTCATGGCCACCGCGGCCCACCATGGACCGGTTTCCCACAACGGTTTCGTTTAGCATGGGGGTGGGCTTAGGCCCTAAACCCTAAACCCTACAAACATTCAGCGGCATGGCGGGCAGAGCTTGTCTTCTAAGGTGTGGGCTCATCTTCTGTCAACAACATCCTCATTTTCCATTTCCCCTCCCTGGGCCCTGAGCTCCTAAACCCTCAAGCGCCTAATATAGGGGCCAGGAATACTTAGAAAAGGGTTTTGGGGCTTCTTGTACTATAATTATAATAAGCACCCCCCAAAATAATAGATTGGTAATTTTTTTGGGCCCCTACATTGAGTCTTACCCCACAATGCGAGCCAAAAGCCTTTCATTCGCTCGAACTCGTGCTTGAGTGCTGCGCAAGCCGCAGCATTCCTCACAGTCCAGGTGTCCCGGTGCTTCTTGGACGTGCTGCACATGTTGAGGTTAGGGGGTCTCAGGATATATGGGGCCCTACTAACCCACTATGGACGTGCAAGATGCCGGGGGCTCATTGAAGGCCCCCCAAAAGCACACAAGCAATAATTAGGAGGGATATCCCAATTGGATCCCCTTCGACTGAAGCCCGAAAAGGCGGGACTATCCTTTCAAACGCTTGCGCTGATGTCCTTTTGGGGGCCAGAATTTCAAGGTTTAGGATTACCGGGCGCCATCGCCTGGACTCCAACTAACTCTGTGGTCGGATGTGCACTCTCACACGCTCAGTACCGCGCCCTAAGGAAGCACTAGGCGCTACCATGCAGGTTCTAGTGACACCCAGTTTCCAGACTTCAGCATCAAGGCAAAAACTTACACTTCAGGGCTCTATGGCTCTATGCGGTCAAGCTTTCGGCTGTTGATTCTCTACCCTGACCACCCCAGAGCCTAATCTTAATTTGGTCCTCATATACGCCTTTTGAAGGCTATAGGTGTTGGGGGCTTAAGAAGTTGGAAGTCAAGCTTTGCCGAGGCTCTTGTCGTGCGTTTCTTTGACCACGTAGACTGGAGATCCGGAAAATGATCCAGATTTCTCGTTCTCACGCTCCTTGTCCCTTGCAAGGTTGTCCGAGTGCTGGGTGATTATTTTTCTCCAACCCTATGGGCTCTTCTTACGTTGGGAGATGTTAACTGCACTGAATCGGTCAGTTTTTCGTGCTAGGCACACCCGCGGTGCACGCTATTTGCAAAATCGTGAACCCTAAACTTGCGAGGCAGCCCCACCCTCTACAAGCCCAGCTCCTTACCGACGTAACCTCGAGCACTAAACCAAGCCTTGAGGGGGTTCAGGGGTGCGGGTTTGGGGACACGAACATATGGTCCGAGTTGTAAGCAGCTACAAAAAAGTGTGTAGTCAGTTTTCGATACAAACCTCCATGAAGCGTGATACATACGACATCTCATAGTACTCCCAGAGCCCATCACCTCAAACCTTGACAATTCATCGACAGGATCCGCAGAAGTGGCACAACAAGGTGTCCTTCTATGAAGCATGTGTCAAGAGAGTGCTTTCCGAAGGCTTCCATTCGGTTGATCCTCAGAGGGGCCCTAACCCTAAACCCTATAAGCCCTAAACCCTACAGCCCTAAACTCAGAACCCTATAAACCCTAAAC